CCATACTTCTCCTGGCCTCAAGCACAACAAAAGAAACATGTACCAACGGGTTTCGCCCCCAGTGAATGACCACCTAAAGGGACGTGGAAAGCAGCTATGGCCACCAAGAACACTCTAAAGGTGGAGGGGGTCAAACCAGTGAAGAATCGTTCCTGCAGGAACTCCAGAACTGAACCAACCGGGCAGATAACTGGGAGCAGCTGATGATTCCCGTACCATGATGTGAAAAACCCACTTCAAGGAGTACAGTTTCTTCGTGGAGGGAGCTCTGGAGTGGAGTATGGTCTCAACAACCTTAGTTTAGAGACCGGAAGCTACGAGTTGTGCCCCCTCAGGGGCCACACCCAAAGTTTCCACAACTTCGGGCAGGGGTGAAAGATGGTGCCCGCCTGAGAGAGGAGATCCCGCTGAACAGGAATCTCCCATGGAGAGTCTCCGAGTAGGGCTACCAGGTCCGCAAACCATGGCTGGCCCAGCCAGTACGGGGCTACTAATATGAGACGAACCCCGTCCTGGCGAACTCTCTCCAGAACTCTCGGGAGCAGAGCAATCGGGGGGAAGGAGTACAGATGAAGCCTCGACCATGTCTGTACCATAGCATCCAGCCCCAGCGGAGCTGGATGAGTGAGGGAGAACCACAGGGGACATTGTGAGGTCTCTCGAGTCGCAAAGAAGTCTACCTGGGCTCGACCGAACTTCTTCCAAATCTGCTCCACTACCTCGGTGTGGAGCTTCCATTCCCCGGGCCTCAGCCCCTGTCTCGACAGGATATCTGCTCCCTGATTGAGGTGCCCAGGGATGTACACTGCCCTCAGGGGGAGCAGTTTCTCCTGGGTCCACAGAAAGATGGGGGCGCGAGCGCAGACCCCCCTGGCGGTTGATGTAAGAGACCACTGATGTGTTGTTTGTGCGAACAAGCACATGATGGCCTCTCAGGTCTGGGAGAAAATGTTTCAATGCTTGAAATACTGCCAGCATCTCCAGGCAGTTGATGTGCCAATTGAGATGGGGACCATCCCACAGACCTTGGATGGAGCGGCCACTCATGACCGCTCCCCAGCCCATACATGGAGCCCACAACACGGGGCCTTGTGACAGAACCCAAGGTTTCTTCCACATGTCTAAGGCACGTAAGCATCGCCGCGTGACCTTGATCATGCGAAGCGGGTTGCCCCTCGGGGAAAACCCTTTGGTCCTGAGCCACCACTGCAAGGGTCTCATGTACAGCAGGCCAAAAGGTATCACGTTGGACACAGCTGCCATCAGACCCAACAGTTTCTGGAACTGCTTCACAGTGAGTGACT